GAAAAACCGGTTGAAAATAAACCGGTTGAAAATAAACTGGTTAAAAGTGGGGGGGGGGGGACTATTCAACCAATTCGTCCATTAGGAGTAGAGATGTCTCAGTTGGTAGTCTGCGTTTTGGGTTTATTTTCGTCCCACCATTTTCGTCCGGGCTTTTTCGTCCTGTTTTTTTACGTTGGTTTTTTTCGTCACATCCCCATCCCGCATGCACGCACCGGAAAACCCACCCGACACCAAACGCGGCTCCTCTCGATCCCCTCGAGAGTAAACGCCGCTGCCATCCTCTTCCTGACGCAACCGCAGGTCACAGCGCCGCCGCCAACGTCCGAGAGTAGCCGCCGCGCCTGAGGACCGAGAGGAGCCGCCACCGAGATCCGAGACTAGCCGTTGCGGCTGAGGACCGAGAGGAGCCGCCGCCTCCAGGTTGCGACTGTGACACACCGCCGCCTCCAGGTTGCCGCCGAGGTCCGCAATCGCCGAAGCCGGCCGGCCCTCACCTCCATCGACCTCCTTTCGGATGGATCCTGCACGTCGCTAGATCGACGGAAGGGGACCTCCACCACCGCCGTTCTTCTCCCTCCCCGACCTCCCGTCACCGTGCTCCCCGGATGTGGCCGTGGCCACAACCGGCGGAGCTTCCCGGCCACTGCCGACGACGCCATCGAGGTAGCCACAGTCGTTGCTGCCAGATCCATGGAGGAGCGTACCCCTGCCTTCTCCTCGTTTTCCTCTTGTTGTATGCCTTTATGCATATTGCTATGCGTTATCACTAACACATTGGCAATGCAACACCTTCTGGAGATAGCATTGACGGTAGTACACATGCTTTGTACTGTAAGCCATTGCATTTACCTATAGGAATATGCAACTCACAGTTCTCTCTATATGTTTTCGGTACATGCTCGGAATATCTGCTACTAGGTGCATACAAGATGAATCTTCAAGACATGCTATCTTGCTTCGTAAGTACTGCTATTTAAGGTGAGCCTTGCAGAACTATCTTTTAATGTTTCCAGTTTATCCTAAAGTATTTTAGCCTAAATTTCCTGTCATTTAGGCCTTGTTCGGTTACACCCCTCCACAAGAGGATTGGAGGGGATTTGGAGAGGTTTTGACTTGCAAGGGATTAAATCCACTTCAATCCCTGCCAAACCCCCTTTGAATCCCTCTCAACCGAACACAGCCTTAGATAGATGTGGGTTATGCTAATCTGACTGGTAAGTTATGGTATTGTAGCTACTGCACATGTCCCTCGATTTCCCAGTTCCATGTGTCAGGATGCTGGGTGTTACTATATTGCCTTCCAGTTTATCCTAAAGTATTTTAGCCTAAATTTCTTGTCATTTAGATAGATGTGGGTTATGCTAATCTGACTGGTGGGTTATGCTAATCTGACTGGTAAGTATGGTATTGTAGCTACTGTACATGTCCCTCAATTTCCCAGTTCCATGTGTCAGGATGCTAATATGGGTGTTACTATATTGCCTTCCATTTTGTAATATGTTATGTTTGGCCGCCGCCGCCGTCGTCCGTAGCAACGCATAGGCCGCTTGCCCAGCTCCCTCATTCCGAGCACGACACCGGACGTCGGAGCTTGTCGGGAGGCACGGAAGGACGAACAGAGTTCTACCGGTGATCTGTGTTGTCGCTGACGGTGTCATAGGATCTGCGGTGCACGTGGACAAGGCAATGGGGCTGCCAACCTACCTCCTCTTCACCACAGCGCATGTGGATTCTTGGGCTACCTCAACTTGGATCAGCTTTTTCAAGAGGGAATGCTTGCCATTCAGAGGTAAATGGTGCTCTTCAATTTTGTTGTTGTTTGATTTGCTTGCAGTTTCTACAAATGATCTGAGGCTTGGCTTTGGGTAGTACATCATCTGCTCCAGTGTCTAATTGCACGCATAACAATCACTTGATTTATGCGCTTCAACCTTCAAATAGTTTGTAATTTATAGAATTCACTACGGCACTTGTTCATTCATGTATATGTGGCTGGATCTGATGGAGAAGATAAAGACAACTAATACGCTGAAAATGATTTTACATCCTGGTTCGAAAAGTAAAAGGGAAATCTTCGAGTAAATGTATGTTCTACTGCAAAGGAACTTCCCGAGGGATCCCATTGAAATTGAAAGTATGTTTCTTTTTTTATTCCCATGCATACTAAATGTGCATCTTGGCCTGGCTCTTGGCACACGCACAATCCATCAGATGAACAGAGCACTCTTGGAGTACTCCTATATTTCCTAGAGCAATATTACTTACATTTAGTTTCGTGTCATCATGGAAATTCAGACGGGCGTTTCGCAGAGTGTTCAGAATAATACTTTGCAAGGGACAGCAGCGCGATGTCAAGCAGCAGCAGCAGCAGGTTCTGCAGCTTCGACGACCCTGGTGAGTTCACGGTCGTGCTCAACTCCCGCCAGCAAGGCGCGAAGGAGTTTCCCCTTGAACCCCATGACCTGATTCTCAGGTTCGTAATTTAGCCTATTTTTGGCTGTTGATCACTCCTTTGTTTCTTTGTACATGTTTTGATTAATGGTGCTTTGGAACAGTTCAACATGTAGTTTTTGATGGGATTTAGTAATTTTGGGCTGTTGAGATGGAACAGTTCAACACGGTCGTAATTTTGGGCTGTTGAGGTGGGATTTAGTACAAATCTGGGAAGCTGAAGCTTAAGAAGTTACAGAATGAGTTTGCCTCGATTTTCACTCTATATATTGATTTTATTGACTACAAATATTTGTATTTTCCATCGTCAAAACAGGCTGCACTATTCCTAAATTTTATGACTAATGGAGGTGTATGGTGCAATCTAAGCTGGAGTACAACTTGTATGCTTATTTATATCCCTCCTGTTGCTAATACGCAGGAAGATATTTATCATATATTTTTGTTGCCTCATGAAAAAATGAACCTAATGTTCTTCCCTGATATACTATTAGTCACGGTGTTGGCTATTGTTATTTGGAGTATAGATTGAAATGCTTCAGATATTGTGCCTTATGAAAGAACACACTTATGTTATGAAATCAAACTTTCCAGTTTCTAAAAAGATTAAGTGTCTGTTGGCTGCTAATAATTTTGTTTATAAATAAATTATATTGTTGTTTATTATATATGCAGGTTGATTTGAACAATCTATAAGGTCGCCACTGCTGGCCGAGTTGGATACCCATTTGTGGTCCTTTTTTCCTTGTTCTTGTTGTACAGATGACAGTTCATGGATTTCTGATATGATTGCTTTAGTGATGATTTTTGCAGAACCACATGCCGATGGTGCACTTGCCTTTGGAATTAAAGATCAGCTTACTACACTAACCAGATATCATATATAAATACTCTACTCTACAGCAGTATGAAGGGGTGAGCTAATTCTGTTGTCACTGTGTTTCACACTTTTCTGTCATAGTTTGCGTCTAATTTCCCTACAGATTTCAGGGCTAGCAAATATGTTAAAGATAGATACAGAGAAAGGAGATTAGGGGAGTGGATTCCGATAATGATGCGAAAAAAATGCCTTTGGGTCGAACACATACTCTTGAAAGAAAGGAAGAAGCTTCTTGGTAATGGAGATGGTTCTCTTATATTTGGTAGGAGTCAGAAAAAATCCAGCATGGAAAAACACCACATTCAACATGGTGTAATTATGATGATCTAAACGAGTATTCCTGGTCTGTTTACAACCTTATTTTATGGTCACATACTAACACACCTTTTCAAATTTTCTCTAATAGATCCTACTCTGTTTTAGGACTTCTGATTGTTTCTCACTGCCACGACCAATGCGGGATGATGGTGGCTTCTTCAAATATGTGCAAGATATGTCCTCTTTAGCATCACTGGATTTTTGAAAACGTTATATCTGAATTTAGAGTGCACTTCTGCAAAAAAGATTTTGTCCTGATTACTATTTCGATTTTATTTCTGCAGGCACTGTGAAATGATCGAATGCCGCTAATCATTTTGGAGGTTTGTTGTAGGGTGCTCTACCAGGTATTTTGTTCAGATATGCTCTTTCTCTGCCTGCCATTTTAGCCATCAGTTGAGAATTATATTCAGATTAGCAAACAAGTTTCTTGATACTTATAAGGCGAACATACTTATAAGGTGAACATACAAACAAATAAAATCTTGATGACTTGTGAGCTTTGCCTATTAACTTAAAATTAACGCTGACAAGTTTCTTGTTCTGTACCATGGTAAGTCATGAGTCTGCTGTCTTGATACAAGGAAATAAGGAAATATTAGTTTTCTGCTTATTCGTTCATATCTTATTACTGAAAGGATTTCCAGTGTATTAGTAATTCAAGTTTCACCTGTCGCAGTGTAGTCTGCAATATTTGTAATTAGCAAGATGAACTCCTATCAACTACTCCCAAGGTTTTCTGAAACTGTACGAACATTTGCTAACAGAAACTTAAGTTAGCAAGTTAGCATAGCTGCTTAGCTACCAAGTTGCTCTGCAGTTAATAACTTAATATACACCTATGTTAAATACATATACTTGTTGAAAGGTTTTTGTGTACTGCTCCTTGTCCTTTATGTGACATTTACTTTCGTAGTCAGTCATAAATGGATCCAGGTAGATGTATGGATATTTATATGGTGGATGATCCGTGTCATTCTTTTACAGGTAATAATATGCACCCACACAATTCAAGTTCATATTCTGGAAGGACATTGACCAACGAACCTTGTAGTAATGTTACAGGTCATAAAATTGTGTATTCCTACTAACCATCATTGCATGTGTGCAGTGGTTAGAGATTTTGTAGTGGATAATCAATTATCTTTATCTGCTTCTAACTCAAGGATTCATACTGCAACATTTCATCCAGTGCAGGCAAACTCGAATGATAGTTAGTGAACTTGGTTAGTAATATTTTTTGTTTTCTTACCTTGCATTTGTGATACGTCACTGAACATGTTTATTAGTTTGTCACGTCACTCCTGCTTGACATGCCAATTCAAAAAGGGCAGCCCGCTGCACATCGCTCTCGCTTGCGCAGGGTCCGGGGAACGGTCCGACCACTTGACATGCCAATTCACAAAAATGAAAGAAATCCAGATGACCTGTGAACCTCCTTGTTGACATAAAATTAATGTTGTTTTATGTCTAAGCCTCATCTATTATATACATGTACAATTACGGTGGTGGATTTCAATTCCTGTAACTTAATTTTCTTACGAGATGTAACTCATCTACTAATATATAGTAGTATGTACAAAGTTTCTTAATCAAGCCAGCCTAATGGACCACACCATACTTAGCAAAGCTAATAGACGGCCCATGCCCAGTACGATTTTTTCAACTGCTGTATAATGGTATTATGATTTTGTGCTCTTTTTCAGAAAATCTGGGTGATGAAGCTGACTCAATAGATCCAAATTTTGGCCGCTAAAGCTGGTAGTGCATCCTTGTCTATGGTGTGGACGGAGGGAGAAAGGAGGCAGTTAGCTACAGTCTGAATGTAAAATAAAATAGTCTGAATTAAAATAAAATCTGATAAAACAAAACAAAGGAGGTCATTAACTAGAGAATTAGGCTGGACTAGATATACATATTATACTGTATTTTCCCACTAAAAACATCCAGCGGGGAGGCTGATGCAACACTATCACGAATTGTTCTAGCTCTTCCTGAATCGATATGGTTTGTCGATGTTGGGATCCTCGACGGTGATTAGCAACTGAATCGTGGTAATCATCGACACTTCTCTCCCACAGCCAACTCCCTTTGATCTGGCCCATCATTTTATATTGCTCCTCTTCCTTTTTGTTTGGATAAAGTTAGTCTTTCATATCTTTTTTACCTGTTTCATATGTCCTTGCACTAATTTTGATCAGTGTGCTATTAGATTTCTACAGCTAGAACAAAGTGTATGTGTATTCTGAATCCGGGTGCGTTGACGTTCTGTTGCTTGAAGTGATGTTTTCTTGGTGACGATGTAGGATGGAAGTACACTTTACTTCAAAGGATTGCACACATATGAAGCGGTTATTGATGAAGTCATGGAAAAGGGACTTGCCAATGCTACACAGTCATGAAATCTTTGTCTGTTTCACTCTTCTTCCATACATGATATACAAGGTTCTTGGGATGCTCAGTACTGTTGCTAGGAGGTACGAAATGGTTTGATCTGTCAAGCATGGGTGTAAGTTCACTTATATGATTCCCCAATTGTTAGATCTATAGTATCACTAGCTGAATCTTCTGTTCGTGTTCAGTGCTGAAGCACAAAATACAAGGGGGTGCATGAGGAGGCGAGAGCTGACGGCAACCATTGGAGGAGGTCTGGTCGGTCGAAGAGTAAGGCGTGGGCAACTCCGGAGAGATTTGGCTTGAGCAAATGTTGATGCTGCTGCAATGAGAAGATCCTTTCTGTGAGCCCTATCCCTCTCATTTAGCGTCTCGATTTTGGGTTCTTCTGCTCCCTGTTTCTCTGTTCATTTGTGGTGATGGAAACCATCCATACTTCCATAGGCAGAAGTTTGCACTTACCAAATAGGTAATATTTCCAGTTCTGAGTACCTATTTCTTAGAAGGATGCATCTATTATGTCATCAGTGTGCTGATAGAACCGAGTCACCGGAAATATTGCAGTATAGCTTGTTGGAGTAAAACATGTACTTTTGATTTTATTTATCAGAAATCCTGGTTCATTGCATGGTTTTGTTATCATAACTCTGTTTCATCAAGTTTTATTCTGAAAGTGATATGAGATTTTAGCCAAGGTGTTTTTAAATTTGTGAGCAGGCATGTAATTCAGGAAATAGCTGAGCTCCCAGCCTCCTTAGACTGGCATGGGCACATCAATAAGGGCATGGAGCCCATCAAAGAGGAGGTCGGAGCGGCGTTGGACCTGGATCAACTCATCTAAATCAAGCGGCCGGCTCCGGCTGGGAGTCGCCAACGCTCCACCTGGACGGCGTCGGCTGGGAGCTGCGACAGCTCCACATGCAATGGCTGGCCGGGGACCAGACCTCGACAGGAACGTGTTGCCCTTTGAGCCGGTGCAGAGCGAAAAGTTCGTAGCATCGTTATAGTTTTTTGCACAAAGATAGACCCTGTAGTACTACTGATCAGGTGAAACACATCGATGTGGCACTGGTACTGAACTGAAGCAACGATTTGTTCAACAAAATATGATCCAAATAGAAAATGAGTGCACATGTTAGTTTCTATAACAAGGAATCGTTGCCGGTTTTGTGCCATTCATGTGTTTTTTTCCCTATATATAGGATTGCTCTTTCGTTTGGTTTGTCAAGATTTGAAATGGTTGTGGTGGTTAATATCTCTGTAGGTGTTCTTTGACCTCGAGAATGGCAACCAGGAGCTCAAGAGCGACGTCAAGGACCTCTACATCAACCTCGGGCAAGTAACGACATGTTTGAAGTGGAAATGTATCCATGACTGTTAGTTGTTGTTGTCAACGATTTTTTTGGAGAATTAATAGTATGATAGTGAAGTAATCTAATTCAATTTCCTTTTTCATTGCAACCACTTAATTTCAATCGGGTCAAAATAAAAAATCAAAGACAATTTTTTCAGCCATAAGTAGAACACCAAAGCTAATTGATACACCATTTTGAAAATTGATACATTGTTGCAGGGAGAGCAGCACACGCAGCGGTGGTCAAGGGCTTAGTGCCTGTTGACCTCGTATGTGGCCGTTGTTGGTCGGTGAAGGAGGCATGCATGAGGTGGTGCAAGGGCATGCTGGTGACATGCTGGTGACGGAGTCGCGCATCATGAGGCCGGGCGAGTAACGCTCGGGAACTGCCGGGCGCTCAGACTGACGCGGGATGGGGTTGGCGCGGTGACTCAAGGAGGAGGATGTAGTTATGGGGGAGGGAGTGACGACGGAGGGGCTTCGATGGCCCAACGAGACCCTACATCATAATCAAGGAGGACCCTACATCTAAAGGAAACAGAGCAGTCTATATCATTAGTCTATTACTGGATTTCTAGAAGAAGGAAAAAGGGAGAAATGGTTGTTTCTGCTACTCTACATTTGCTTTAAAATTGGTGTACATATATCAAGAAGAACTTGGTTGCAAAAGTGATCAAACATAACATTCAACACAAACACATTGGTTTTGTAATTAAATGCCTAAGATCTTATAATTTCGAATTAAATTGTTTGATTATACAATCAGTTCACATTATTTGGTGTAGCATGCTGTTTAACATTTTGGAGTTCCATCCTTTTTAGTAACGAAATAATGATGAACTCATATTAGTGGATCCATAAAAGTGTATAATATTAGTTTGACGAGGTTATATAGCAAGGCAATTCTTGTTTGACGAGAATAATGAAAAACCAAGCAGCAAAAGAAGATAAATTTGGAAAGAAGAGATAATTTTTCACTCGAGGGTGGGGCTGTAAGGAATCCGTGGCACGAGTAAAAAAAACATCTTGGTCGCCATATAGAAAAACATCTTGGTTGCCTCCTCTCTATCTCGCCCATCTTGTTGCCAGGCATGGAAGAGAGGAGGGAGAGCCGAGGAGCGTGGTGGCCTCTGGCTGTTGCCCGGGAAAAGGTAAAGGTCGTGGCACGACTGCCCGTCGCAATGCCGCTGCTCCTTGCGTGCTTGTTTCCCTCCTTACACCCCCACGTCCAACTCGATCTTCGGCTGCCGCAACGTCGAAGATGACCAAGTCTAGCGCCCGCGCCCGCCGCCCTCTTGTGAATGGCCAACTGATAGCCGAAGATGGGGAAGGTTTCGATAGTATGATAGTATGATGTGTGTTAGCTGATTGTCAAGAAAAAGATGTGAGTTAGTTGAGACGGCATTATTCATGGTTATTTTAGCTCCGTGAGTAGCATCTTAAATTTTTCTAAAAGCCCGTGGCAACGCACGGGCGTTTTACTAGTTGTTCTAAAAAACTAGTAGTGGTTCCTTAATATTTAGGAGCATTTTTTGTGGAAACATCTTCATCTTGCAAAGTCAAGGTCTCCAAGGACCCTAGCTTGAACTTGAAATTGTGAAGTATGCATGTCTATGAAAAGTCATTCGTGTATTGTTACTTTGTTGAAGCCATTGATTAGATTCGCTATTGATATTCAGGGTGAAGCATCATTCCTGAAAAGTACAGAACGAGGCAAAACGAGCGATGCAGATCAGGAGCACGCGACGAAGGCCCCAGATCGGCGGGTAGTCTAGCAGCATTTATATGTTCGATTCCCAGTTAACTTGCCTATACAACAGAAGTTTACATGCATGACTTTTACAGGCAACTACCAACTTCGGTTCCCCTCCTCATAAGTTGTATGTGTACATCCGTAGAGTTTCTTTAAAGTTGGCCTAGCATGGTTCTCATAATGGGCATGCCTACGGGGTACGGGCTACTTGAAAAAACGATTCAGATGCAATCATTCAAGAGGCCAACAATACATGGGCACATACGCACCCCTCTTTCACATTCTTAATTAGTTCTGCATCGTGCAACTAGGCGCACATGGATTCATGGATCGTAGCAATGCTATAAAAGTTGGCAAGATGGCTTCCCTCTAAAGTTGAACCTCGCCATAGAGAGTACTAAAATAAAATGTAGATTTACGTTGTGCAACACAGAGTAGCAATAGGGGTAAGGAGATGAAGTCATGCAAACACCATGCCTTTAGGACCATGTAGATCGAAAACACTCTATCATTAGTAGGCCTCGGTTATACCTTCAAAACTAGACACACACCAAGTGGCAGTGGCTGACGTTGATCTAGGGAATGAGCCTGCTTTTTCGCTCCAATAGAGGCCATACTACTTAGACATTTTGTAATCCAGTGGCATTGATTCTGGGTAGGATAGTAATGCACAAGAAAGCAGACGTACGCTACACCAAGGGCCGTCGATTAGGGTGCACAAAGCACCAAAATCATGGGGGCCCTGACCAGAGGAAAATCTGGGAAATCTCGCCTCCATTTGTTCCGTTGCCAGGATTCCTCACCGCGCCCTTGTAGTGGTTGGGGGCCCGTCAATTTCCAGTCAACTCTACATGCTGTGGTACCCAACCAACACTGGCGATGCTTGGCAATCGAGGTGAGGTGCGTTGTACCATTAAATCCCGGCCTGACTGCTATCTGTAGAATTGCACCGCAATAAACAACGAAAATTGTCAAATAAGTACATGCAGCCAAGCGCAGGCTGCTTGGAGTATGTCAATGTCACAATCGTGTAGGATGTGCCTGCCCTAATTAATTTCTTACCGCGTAGGCCGTACCGGGTCGGTGACAACAAATTGCTAGTGTTTTCTCAAGCCAAGCCAAATCCTATCAAAAATTTGTAGGTGCACGCACTTGCGCATCCGTGTAGAGCCGTTGATCTACGCCGTGATCTGAAAAGCTTTGATTCGATGGAAATTGGCTGGAAAATAGATGCAAATGCGGAACCTTGGTGAGGGGTTTTAAGGTTGTGCAATTGTCTCTCACTCTGTTGGATGAGCAGAAAATTGTGATGGAGGCGCTGTGGATCGTCAAAATAATTTTGCTGAGCGGCGGCGTGAGCAAGAGAGAGAACTTTGACAAAGAGCTTAACAATGTGAATCAGACTGACCAGGCGGTAATCAAATTGTGTAGAGGCGTCAGCTCACTTGGGGAGGAGCATGATGAGAGCTTCGTTGAACTTTTGGAAAGCTCCGCCGTTGTGTATCGATAATTAGATTTCGTGAAATATCTTAGATATCAGTTCTAAGCTTCTTTTATCATTTTAACCTCCAATCGTGTATAACTTATGAACTATAATTAGACATTGCTCACATTTTTGGGAAGTTGCACTTTTTAACACTATAATTTATGGGTAAGTGCTTTAATTTTTTAAGGCTAATAAGTAGTTTCTAAAGAGGAAATTAAAGCTAAGTAAGTTGTTACTACTTTTCTGCGGGAAGTAAGGTGCAACTTCCTACAATTTGGATTTGTCAAAGTTTCCGAGTTGGCGAAATTGAAGATAAAAGGGCCTGTTTAGGACACATCTAGATGTGACATAATTAACTTAATGTCTACTATGTTTGTGGTCTATTTTTTTTTGTCCCATCTTTTTTTTGTTCCTTGTTGCTGCATTATTTGTGGGAGCTTAGATGTGACATCCTTAAAAATATCTAGATGTGAATTGGACAAATTGAAGATAAAAATATGGCAGCAGAGCACACATACTAAATTTTTGCCATGATGCTAGGCTATCGACATCAGATACGGGCCCTTAAAAATCACGGCGCGCCATATAATGAACAACGAAAATTGTCCACTAAGTACATGCAGCCAAGACGTCTCAATACCTGAGCTGTTGATGTCACATTCGTTACTCCTATCTCTCAGGCCGGACCGGACCGCTGGTAACAATTTTGCTAGTGCTCTTGCTCGTGCAAAGCCAAATCCTATCCCTATCCATATCCAGATCAACTTGATTCACAACCAACCAAACCAAGCACACAAGAGTCGCCATTTCGCGCGGAGTAGGAACCAGACCTGCAGAAAACGAATGGAAGGAGCAGGCGAGGAGAAGCCGCACGCCGTGTGCCTGCCGTTCCCGGCGCAGGGGCACATCACCCCGATGCTCGGCGTGGCCAACCTGCTCCACGCGCACGGCTTCCACGTCACCTTCGTCAACTCCGAGTACAACCACGCCCGCCTCGTTCGCACACGGGGCGCCAATGCGCTGGCTGGCTCCCCGGGCTTTCACTTTGCCACCATCCCTGATGGCATGCCACATCCGTCGGGCGCCGTGGATGATGATGTCACGCAGGACATCCCCTCGCTTTGCAAGTCCACCTTGGAGACTTGCCTCGGCCCCTTCCGCCGCCTTCTCACCGAGTTCAATGGTGCGGCCTCCATAGAGGACCACCCAGTCGTGACTTGCATCGTCTCGGACCTCACCATGTGTTTCGCCATGGATGCCGCCAAAGAGCTAGACGTCCCCTATGTCCAGCTTTGGACGGCCAGCACCGTTAGCTATCTCGGATTCCGTTATTTCCGTCTCCTCATTGACCGTGGCATCGTCCCACTTCAAGGTACACATGTCTTTCGAAGTTTGAACACTGTACAATTTCTTGCTTATCACTTCCTTTGAAATTCATCCAAAAAAAATGTCATATTGGTAGATACTGTTTCGGTCAAAGTATTTCAGCCATCACCGTACGTACTACACACAGACTCAAATACTTATTTAAATATTTGGTTCTATTTCAATGAAATGCATATGAAAACTTTGGCGTGCTTAATAGTAGGCCGAAATAACCAAAATTCACTGATTTTGCCTAGGGCTGAATTTTTTTGAAACTGAAATTCAAAATGATGTGCACACTACATACATTGTGCAACTAATAACAACAGCTGTATTCTCCTCCCCATTTATATCTTTGCATACATGGACTGCAGATGAGAAACAGCTTACGGATGGATACCTCTGTCTGGCCCTGCGTCGCCTTGGCCCTGGGCGACTCGGGCGCCGCCATCAACCCTAGCCCACTCGGGCCTTCCTCCTCCCCGCCGCCGCCGCCGCCGCCGCCGGAGGACGCCGCCGGGCAAAGTCTGCGCGGCCGACGGTGGCGGCGGGGGCTTCCTCTCGTGACGGCCTCTTGCTTCTGTTGGGCAGCGGATCCGGAGGCATGTCGGCGCGCGTTGGGACCATGGGTCTCCAGCGACCGGCGGCTGAGCGCGGCGTCCGCTTGAGGGGCGTGCGCGGCGGCTATCGACGGCATGGCATCCGCTACGTCGGGGGTGAGCGGTTGGGGCTGCAGCGTTTGCTAGATTTGGGCACGATCCAGATTGGATGACGTTGTGGTTCTCCAACTTGGCCGGATGCATGGCTGGTTGGCTACGTCATGGGCTCAGCCCTCATGGCGTTGATCGTTCCAGCGGCCAGCGAGGACTGGATCCCGGGGCGGCGGCCTCGGACGGCGGAGGATGCGGCTGTGGTCTCGCAACGGGCGACATGGCGGCTGGATCTTCGCGGCCAGGCGGGGCGTGCTGGCACGGGGAGGCCGTGGTGAGCTTCTCGGTCCAGATCTGGATCGGGGGCTCCTCCGGCCTGCTGCATGGGCGGCGCGTCCTGTCGGCGGCGGCTGGATCCCGGGGCGGCGGCCCTGGAAGGTGGTGGCTGGTGAAGCTCAGGCTTCCCCCGGCGGCATGGCGTGGTGCAGTCCATATCCAAGGCGGATCTGCATCGGCGATATCATGGTTTGGCCATGGTTCAGATCAGAGACGGTGATGAGTGTGTGGGATTCATCCCGGCGGCTCTCGCGGTTTGGCGAGGTGGGGTGGGAGCCCTCCTCCCAGGCTCCAGTGGTGGCGCATTCAGGCAGTGGCTGGTGCGCCAGGGCTCCTACGGTGGCACTGCTGTTGTGGTTGGTCGCCGGATCTAGGTGGCTAGATCTGGGGCTTTGAAGGCGGTCGAGACAGTGCACAGGTTGTCGGGTGGATTTCTTGGAACGGATCCGGGTGAAAACTTGGTCTTCGGTCATTGGCCGGAGCCGGTGATGACGATGCTCTTACCATCGTTTCCTTCATGAAGGCATCATCAAGGTGAAGTTCCCAACCCCACCCAATACATCCGGGGGAAACTCTAGATCAGTTGATCGGATGACGGCGACATTCATGTGTCGTTACCCCCTTGGGGGCGGCATTCTTGGAGATGCACTCGGGCTCGAGGGACCAGCGGATGGCATCTGCGGTGGAGCGGTGTTTCTTTCTACATATTCATGGCGGCGGTTCTCGACGGCATGGAGCAGTGGAGACTTGGCGTCAGATGTGTGGCGAGGGACACGCGCAGGAGGTCGACGTTGTCTGGCGTCGTGGTGGCGTCGATGGCAGAGTGGCCTGACAAGGTCGATGCGTCAGTACATGCTTTGAGGATGGATCAAGGGAAGACGGAGGTGACGGCCCTTTGCAGCGTGTGCGTGTGGTACTCACTGAGAGTGCGCCGGACCGGAGTGTTACCCAGTCCCGCCTATGTGGCTTGGATGGGGCATCCGGCGTTAGATGTTAGGCCTTTGTGCGGTGTCTGTTTGGTATTTGGCCCGGACATTCGGCACACCTTCATCAAGGGGATAGGAGTAGCGACAAGTGTCGTCTAGATGGTGGCCTCGGGCTTACTGTTGTATTACCTTATAAGGGTTGTGTGAATTAATAAATAATATGGCCGCATGCATCACCCAGATGCAGAGGCCGGGGATGATTCCTTCTTTTCTAAAAAAAAAACCTTGATACCCCACTAGAGTATCTACCGGGGCTGAGGAACATGAGGCTCAGGGACTTCCCGAGCTTCATCCTGAACCCAGATGACTACATGGTGGAGTATTCCATCAAAGTAACCGAGAGTGCGCCCGGGGCTTCCGCCGTAATCGTCAACAGCTTTGATGACCTCGAGGGCGAGGCAGTGGAGGCCATGGAAGCGCTCCTTGGCAGACCCAAGGTCTACACGATCGGCCCGCTCACTCTGCTAGCCCCGCGCTTGACAAGTACCGTCGGTAGCCTCAGCCTGTGGAAGGAGCAGGAGGAGTGCCTGCAGTGGCTCCACGGCAAGGAGCCCGCCTCCGTCGTCTACGTAAACTTTGCAAGCATCACGGTCATGACCAAGGAGCAGCTCCTGGAGTTCGCGTGGGGGCTGGCGAACAGCGGCAGGCAGTTCATGTGGATCATCCGTCGCGATCTCGTCAGGGGCGATGCGGCGGTGCTTCCTCCTGAGTTCATGGCAGAGATGGCAGGCCGTGGGTTCATGGCGTCCTGGTGCCCGCAGCAGGAGGTGCTGAACCACCCGGCTGTAGGCGTGTTCTTGACACACAGCGGCTGGAACTCGACAATGGATAGCATGTGCGGCAGCGTGCCAGTCATCAGTTGGCCCTTCTTCTCGGACCAGCTTACCAACTATCGGTACCAATGCAACGAGTGGGGCGTCGGCATGGAGATCGGCAACAACGTCCAGCGCAACGCCGTCACAGGCCTTATCACGGAACTCATGCAGGGTGAGAGTGGAAAGAAGATGAGGAAGAGGGCAGAGGAATGGCAGGAGAAGGCAATCTTGGCGGCCAAGCCCGGCGGTTCATCTCACCGCAATTTAAAAGAGCTCCTCTGTGATGTACTTTTGCCTAAGAAATAGGACAGATCTTTCCATGTACATTTTTTTAAGACTTCCTTGGATGACTGCAAAGTACTGTACCTCCCACTACCAGAAAAACTGGGGTTGCCGACGGCCAAATCTATGCCGACGGCCCCCGTCGGCATCGCCGGACATATGCCGACGGCCAAAGATAGGCCGTAGGCGTAGAAAAGCCGTCGGCATACATCCATCTATGCCGACGGGGCCGTCGGCATAGACGAGGCGGTCGGGACCGCCCGAGATACGCCTACGGGGCCCGTCGGCATAGGTCAGGCCATCGGCATAGCACGGGCCCACCTGCCCGGTCAGCGCTGACCATTTGACGGTGTTGAACCTACGCCGACAGGTGGTAACGGCGGCCGTCGGCATATCTGTGGCAGAGGTATGCCTACGGCATAGCCGTCGGCATAGGCCCCTCTGCCACGTCAACGATCCGTGTGCCACGCCACGTCATCGATCCGTGGGACAACCTTCGTGTGTGCACATATATGCTGGCGGCCTTGCCGTCGGCATACGTGGGCATTACTTTATTTTTTTTGTTTTTACTTTGTTTTGTTATTTTTACTTTATTTTAGTTTTTGCTTTTGCATAAAATAATTATGCCTTATCTAAAAAAACATACCCGATGGTATATCGATTGCCCCCCGTTACGAACGTCGCTATCGCCGTGTCACGGAGGGGGGAAACGGTCGACACGGAAGGAATTCTGGTTGGTGGGGGGGTTCGGGTGTAGCTATGTCACCGAAACATCGCACGGGTCCCGATGCATATGTGAAAGTGTTCATGCATGCGTAGGCGCCCGTCTTGGGGCTCCGGGGTGTGCCCCCCCACACGGACGGCGCCGCCGCCGGCACTTGGAGGGGGGAAACGGACGCGTGGGGTCTACACGGAGGGGATCTTGCTGTGGGTCTGGCCCGAATGTTGCTCCAAAGTGTTCCTATGGGCTGACCTAACACAACCGGGTGGGGAGGTCCACTGGTCAAAGCCCGTCCGTGCAAAGTCAAAGGGCTAGATCCCGTGGTCAAACGCTACAGGGTTAGGCGGGACGGGGGCACTGGGGGTAGCAATGCCACCGGAGCGTCGCACCGGGCCCTCATACATGCGGGTGGTGTGGTGGCATGTTCGAAGAGGCGGGACGCGTCTCCGGGGCGTGCCCCCCCCTCACGGACGGCGATGACACGGTAGTAGACGTTCTGCGGTAACGATGTGGCGTCAATATTATTAAATACTCAGAGCGCGATAAAATCATGAGTTTTTTGCACGACGCGGGCACATGTGCTATAGTAACGATGGTATTTTTTCATAATTTTTGGTGATGGAGAAGTATCCAAAAAATTCCCTCTACGCGGATTGCCCTTCGCGCGTCTACAGCTGTGGCCGGCGGCCTCCGGGGGCTAGCATGCCGCGAAATCTTGCGTAGGCGGCCTCTCACAAGTCTGGAAGTGTTGTGGCGGTTGCAAACGCCCGGCACGCGTGTCCGGGGTGTGCCCCCCCCTCACGGACGGCGCCGCCGCCGGCACCTGGAGGGGGGAAACGGACGCGTGGGGTCTACACGGAGGGGATCTTGCTGTGGGTCTGGCCCGGATGTTGCTCCAAAGTGTTCCTATGGGCTGACCTAACACAACCGGGTGGGGAGGTCCACTGGTCAAAGCCCGTCCGTGCAAAGTCAAAGGGCTAGATCCGGTGGTCAAACGCTACAGGGTTAGGCGGGACGGGGCACTGGGGGTAGCAATGCCACCGGAGCGTCGCACCGGGCCCTCATACATGCGGGCTGGTGTGGTGGCATGTCCGAAGAGGCGGGACGCGTCTCCGGGGCATGCCCCCCCCCCTCACGGACGGCGATGACACGGTAGTAGACGTTCTGCGGTAACGATGCGGCGTCAATATTACTAAATACTCAGAGCGCGATAAAATCATGAGTTTTTTGCACGACGCGGGCACATGTGCTATAGGAACGATGGTATTTTTTCATAATTTTTGGTGATGGAGAAGTATCCGAAAAATTCCCTCTACGCGGATTGCCCTTCGCGCGTCTACGGCTGTGGCCGGCGGCCTCCGGGGGCTAGCATGCCGCCAAATCTTGCGTAGGCGGCCTCTCACAAGTCTGGAAGTGTTGTGGCGGTTGCAAACGCCCGGCACGCGTGTCCAGGGTGTGCCCCCCCCCCCCTCACGGACGGCGCCGCCGCCGGCACCTGGAGGGGGGAAACGGACGTGTGGGGTCTACACGGAGGGGATCTTGCTCTGGGTCTGGCCCGGATGTTGCTCCAAAGTGTTCCTATGGGCTGACCTAACACAACCGGGTGGGGAGGTCCACTGGTCAAAGCCCGTCCGTGCAAAGTCA